TTGCACTCCAGCCTGGGTAACAAGAGCAAAACTCCGTCTCAAAAAAAAAAAAAAAAGTGTGTATGTCTCCTTATTATGTATCATTAACAGGATGATTTGAGATCTCTATGCAAGGTCAGGAAAAATAAAAACACTTTGTATCATAGTTTGAAATAGTCTGTATTATAGTTTAAAACGTGTGTATGTCATAATGATTTTTTCTTGCTGTGCTGCTTCATCATAGTGTTGATAGAAGAAAACAGAAAAGTAGAAAAGTATTCAGTCAGAAACAATGGCAGAATCTCCAAACATCAGAAAAGAAGAATGGTTTTCTCATTGATGTCTTATGAAAATGTTAGTTCCTTTAGGAAACTTGATCTCCAAAGACACTATTTTTGCTTTGCTTTTCTTTTCCTGTTCCTTGATTAGACCCACACAAACGGTAGAGTTCAGTGCAAGGTTTTTGAATCTTGTCTTCTTAAGTAGATGAGTTTTCTGTTTTGCTCTTTATTCAGTCATTGTTACAATGTGACAGTGTAGTTTTCTCTCTTAATAGTCACAAGGCTGATGCAAAATATAATAAGAGAAACCAAAAACTTAATTATATAATTCAGTTATATTTCCAACAGATAAATACTACTATGTAGCATATACCTGCTTTGTAATTAGAAGCCTCTCTGATTCCTTTTCCTCCTCTTCTGTGCTTAGTGCCCTGAAATCTCAATGTAATGTACGCCACTATCAACCAAGTTGATGAGTCAAGTAGCCATGAGGGAAATCCTTCAAAATGAAGTCAAAGGGTGACATGGGATCAAAGCAGACAAAAAGGTCCTGCTTTTCCAAGGACTGATATAGCTGAAAGAAAAGAAAGAACTCAGCTTGTACCTACAAGTGTCTTTTCATGAGAGAATAGATACGTCTAGCTAGAACATGGACCTGAGCCATGAGTTGGGTCCTAAGGGCTCAAAAGTGGGCAGTATATTTACTTCAAGTGAGCCTGGTCAGATCTGAGCCAAGTTCTCAATGAAGAACTCAGAGTCAAACCGGGCAATCTAAATACCAGTACCAAGTCTCAAGGAATTGAATTGAATTTTTTTATGACTGATGCATAATAATTGAACGGATTTATGGAATACAGGATAATGTTTCAATACATGTATACATTGTGTACTGATCAAATCAGGATAATTAGCATATCCATCACCTTAAACATTTGTCATTTCATTGCGATAAGAACATTTAAAAACCTCTCTTCTAGCTGTTTTGACATAGATAATACATTACTGTTAACTCTATTCATCCTACTGTGCAATACAACATCAGAACATGTTTCTGCTCAATGTAGCTTTGTACCCATTAACCAGTTCCTAACCTCCTGTCCTCTCATAACTGCTATTCTACGCTCTACTTCTATGAGGTTCCACATGTGAGTAAGATCATACGCTATGTGTCCTTCTGTGTCTGGCTTATCTCACTTAATGTAAGTCCTCCAGGTTAATCTGTTTTGCCACAAATGACAGGATTTTCTTCAATTTCATGGCTGAATAGTAAATATTTCATTTTATATATACTGCATTTTATTTTATTTTCTCTTTTTTTTTTTTTTGACAGGATCTGGCTCTAATGCCAAGGCTGAAGTGCAGTGGTGCCATCTTGGCTCACTGCAACTTCTGCCTCCCAGACTCAAGCTATCCTCCCGCCTCAGCCTCTCCAGTAGCTGGGACTACAGGCATACACCGCCATGCCCGGCTAATTTTTGTATTTTTGTAGAGATGGAGTTTCACCATGTTGCCCTGGCTGGTCCCCAGCTCCTGAGCTCAAGCTATTCATCTGCCTCAGCCTCCCTAAGTGCTAGGATTACAGACGTGAGCCTCCATGCCTGACCTAAATACTGCATTTTCTTGATCCATTCTTCTGTTGATGGACATTTAGGTTGACTTCATATCTTTGCTATTTTGAATAGCACTTCAGTAAACATAGGAGTGCAGATAACTCTTCAACATACTGATTTCGTTTCCTTTGGATATATACCAAGTAGTTGGATTGCTAAATCATATAGTAGTTTTATTTTTAATTTTTTAGGAACCTTCATACTGTTTTCTATAATGACTATACTAATTTACATTCCCACCAGTTGTGCGTAAGCGTTCCCATTTCTCCACTTCATCACCAACACTTAGTATCTCTAGTAAGAAACAGCCAAGAGTCAAGATCCAAGTGAAGGTAACTAGAAAAGGGCAGACTGATTACTGCACTAGTCTTTGACTGTCATACCAGTTTTGTGAGTTTATAGTTACTTGGATTTCTCAGATTTGCTTAACAGTACAGAGACAGATTAGCCAGAAAAGGTGATAAGAGAATGACTGCAAGGGCAGGAAATGAGACATTATGCCTATAAGAAAAGTGACAACAGAAATCCCAAATGGGGTTTCTTTTTAAAATTTTTTTTTTTAATTTTTATTTATTTGTTTTTTTGAGACAGAGTCTCACTCTGTTGCCCAGGCTGTAGTGCAATGGCACGATCTCACCTCACTATAACCCCCACCTCCTGAAGTTCTCCTGCCTCAGCCTCCTGAGTAGCTGAGACTACAGGTGCCTGCCACCACACCCTAGTAATTTTTTGTATTTTTAGTAGAAACTGAGTTTCAACATGTTGGCTAGGCTGGTCTCAAACTCCTGACCTCAAGTGATCCAGCCACCTCAGCCTCCCAAAGTGTTGGGATTACATGTGTGAGCCACTGCGCCTGGCCCCAAATGGGATTTCTAAATGTTTTAAACTTATGCTGTTGATTGAAATACATAAATAATTGTACCTGAAATTTCTTCATATTATAGTAGAAAATAGTGGAACATTTGAACAGATAGTCTAAATGGGCTGTATCCCATGGCTGCTCTAGGGGAAAGATACTATGAAAGGAAAAAAAATAAGAAAAATTGTTCGAATTTGGGATTGAAATCTACAGAAGAGAAGTTTCTCCGTTTTTGATCGCTTAAGGATGATGATAGTGAAATATTAACCCCAAAAATCAGCAATAGAAATCCCTCTCAGAGAACTCTGTACTTGAAAGCTACCTGGGAGGTTTCCCATTATCATCATAGTCCCTAGTCAGTGTGAACAGAAGAGCTCTTAGACGTTGGACATAGTTGTTGTGAGAAGAGATAACACGTGAAAGCATCTGGTAAGTTGTAATCATATCGTTGATAGTTACGTCCTCAGAATTCAGTGCCCTCCAAGGCTCTTGCCAGCCTTTCAGCCTGATTTCTTCATCTGATTTCCATATTTATTTTGATAGTGCCACTGCTTTTAGTCTCTCACACTGGTTCCAATACTTATTGATTCTTCAGGACGTTTGGCAAATGTCAAGTCCTTTATGAAGTCTTTCCTGATTTCTCAACAACCAGGTATACTTTCTCTCCCCTTTCTCTCCCCTTCCTCTATTACACTAATTTCCAGCTTTTGCTTTTTGCTTTCTTTTGGTTTTTTGCATACGTATGTCTCTGTTACAACACAGCATATTTGTTCCTGAAAAACCTCACATTCTATAAAAACATGCAGTAAAAAAAGGGTTACAAGAAGATAGGGTTATAAGCAGACCACTTAAAATCTGTATAACTATAAAAAGAAATAAAAACTTGGCATAATTTTGTTATCAAAGCCCTAATAAAAATAGTAACAGTTACAATAAAAATACCAGCATGGTAGAGACCAGCGTTTGCGCCTAGAAATAGAGCCGGTCCATCCTCTGCAGCCTTTTTCCTGGGGCTCATGTTTTCATCAAGTTATAAGGTCTTGAAACTATTCACTTCTCATAAAGACTACTTTTTCAAAATTAAAAATGCCATATGGAGATAGCTTTCTTCATCAATCGGCGTTTGATTGTTTTTTTTGTTGTTACTTTTTTTACACAGTGCAATATATTTGCATTCTTTTTATTTGCACTTGCCCTTCCCCCAGAGAGCTTAACACAGTGGAAAGTACAGCAGTTCTTGAAGCTATAAAACCAGATACTTCTTGCAGAACACACTTCGGTAGGATTTTCATCTTTTTTTCTAAAGGTATTGTAAGGCTTCCCCTTTAACCATAAGAAAGCCTATCCATTCTGGAAAAATTACCTATGAACCAGTATGCCTTCTGTGTTAAACTGATACCATTTCCATATTTAGCAATCTCACAGAACTAAAGTACATTCAAGAAACATGTTTATAGCAGAATAAATTATATTACTTTGATCATCCTTCTCCCCATTGACTGTGAACTCACTGGAGACAGGAATTGTCTTTAATCTATCTGTGTTCCGCAACAGTACCTGACATAGTGCCTTATGGGGACTCAAAAAGTATTTGTTGGCTTGAAGTAAAGTATTTGTTCTGCTGCATAATAAATATAAATCTATACTATATGGAAGGTACTGAATATGAGGATTAAAAAATGTAAACCTGGTTTCTCCTGGCTCCCTTTTCTATTGGTACCCACCTCTTAAAATCATTAAGTACTCAATTTAGAGATTACATGTTGTTACATACTCATCTCTGTCAACCATGTTGAGACATACTCTGATGCTTCTTAGAGATTAAGCCCAATCTGTGTAAAATTCGACCAACTTGTCTCCATTTCACTGGTCAGTCATTAATACTAAGAGAAAGCCGTAGTGTTTGCAAATTAGTCAGTTTTGTTGTGCTATATTGATTGAAGTGGTGAAAATAGTGTTTCTTCTTTCAGAAGGAAATTACAACCTAAGCTATTGGAAAAGAAAAGTGGAACTATCCATTATTAAATTCCTTTTTGTCCTAAAGCAATTACAATGGAAATAGATTTCCTTATTTAATTCTTGCCTTGGACAAAAGGCATTTATTTTTCTGTAGTTGAGACTATTGCTGAATATGTGACTTATAATTGTCATAGTAGTAATCTCAGTCAACTCAGATGTATCACTGCCATTCAATAGTTATTAGATCTAAGGCATTGTACAACAGATCACTCAAGTGAAAGGGAGATAAATATAAGTTCTATCTTTCTTCAGAATGTAAAAAGGCTTCTTCAGAACCCCAAAGTGACAGAGTTTGATGCTGCCCGCCTGGTGATGCTTTACGCTTTACATTATGAGCGACACAGCAGCAATAGCCTGCCAGGACTAATGATGGACCTCAGGAATAAAGGTGTTTCTGAGAAGTATCGAAAGGTAATCAGTTTCCATATTAGCCCACCAAACAGGAATGAACTCTGTTATTATATTCTTAGCTCTAACAAAGATAAATCATACTATTTTTATTTATAGAAATGTATCATTCTGTCTTTTCGTTTTTGTTTCCTTAATAAAATAAAATTATTTTCTTACAAAATGAGCTTCCTGATCCCTAAGCAATCAAAATTTGCTTCTCTTTTTTAATAGCTCGTGTCTGCAGTTGTTGAATATGGTGGTAAAAGAGTCAGAGGAAGTGACCTCTTCAGCCCCAAAGATGCTGTGGCTATCACCAAACAGTTCCTCAAAGGACTGAAGGTATAGACATCTCTGTGCTCTCCAACATGAGAACAGTTGAAGCCCCGGAGGCTGAGAGTGAATGAATATGATTTTCAAAGTACCTTGAGGATTGCTGCTCATTTAGTACTGTGTCACTGAAATGAAATTAAAACTGACATCCTCTTGAAAGCTTTTTCTCTTAGTGCTTTGTGTATTAGAGCTGTATCAGCATTGGACCAGATAGCTGAGCAGGAAATAACTGAAGTATTTCCAGGAAATACTCAAGAAGAAAAAGACAAACACTTCTGTTAGTCACAGATATGTTACTCCATTTGTTTATAATTAAAGATTTGTTAGGTAGTTGCTCTTTGAAGGAAATTAAAAATGAAGCAAACATTTGATCTATTAAAAATACTGACTTGTTTTCTTGAAATACTCAAAAATTAGTTCTAATCTGCTAACCTTTCTTATGTTTCCTGAAGTTTTTCTGTTTTCCTGGGTGTTTCCAGTCTTTTATATATATACATATGATCCTTTTATTTGCTCTACCTATCGTTTAACGTTTTCACAAAAGAGTGAGAGGCAATGAAAACAATAAAGGATTTAAGCAATTCTTTTTTAAAAAATTCCTTTACAATAACTAGCCCTAAATTACAGAGTATTTTTTATGAGATTAGAACATTTCTGGCTGATTAAAATAATTTTTAAATTTCTCACAGTTCCTATTTAAATCTGCCCCATGAAATCTCTATTAAGTGTATGTCCTTTTCTGATAATGAATGTTATTGATTCTTATATTGCTAGTTTCATAAAAATGACATAAGAACCTTTCCCTCTGTTTTAGGGAGTAGAAAATGTATATACACAGCACCAACCTTTCCTACATGAAACCCTGGATCATCTCATCAAAGGAAAGCTTAAGGAAAGCCTGTATCCTTATCTAGGCCCCAGCACACTCAGAGACAGGTAAGCTAACAAAGATATTAATAATAAAAGTCAGAAACACTGAACAAGTGAAAATTTAGAGTCATGTTAAGGACTAAAGCTGAGATGATAGCATTCTGCTCCTCCTTCCCCTGTTTATCAGTTTTAAGATTCTTTTGGTTTTACATATATCAGCGATAGATATGAATTCCCCTGCTAAGTCTGAAACATTTATTTCTTTTGTACTAAAGAAACAGGTGTTTTGGAGAGCCTCAAAGCCTCATCTTCTGTATTTCGGTATCAGACCAGTTTACTTATGCCATTTAAGGTACTGTTTGGTGGCATCTGGCATTTGGTGTTTCAAACATTAAAGCCAAAACTAGGCTTGCTGCTTGATTGCCATCCAGAGCAGGTTGCTATTTTTGGTGAGGACTGGACTTTGCCAAATGTTGCCAGCACACAAACTGAGAGACCTAATTAATAAAGGCCATTTGTTACACAGGAGAAAAGGATATTTAAAAGGCTTGCTTTTTGATTATTAACCAAAGGAAGCAAAAATTGTTATCTTAATCCAGTGGTTAGTTAATTTTTAATAAAAATAAAACTTGTCCAGAACAAGTTATTTAGGCCAACCTGAAATTTTAAATACTGTATACATAAATTCTACCTAGTTAAAAATTTTGTATTTTTATATATATTTTTTAGCTGGACACATGTTATCTAAAGGGGCTAACATATGTACCTGAATCCTATTGGATAATGTGAAAATTTTAGTGTTGATATAATTCTTCTATTATTTCAGTTAATAAACATCTAAGAGGCTTAGAAGTATAGTGTTTTATAAATATAATGAGATTCTGAATGGGAAAATGTTTTGAGATACATAGATGACTCTTTTACATGGTAAAGTATATTTTTTCACTTTGTCCTTAAAAAATAAATTCTGTAATTTGGTACAGAACAGAAAAAATATCATCTTTTAAAAGTCCAAAGTTGAGAGGTAGAACATTTGGTATTAAACTCAGAGAGTACACTCATTCAGATAAAATGTTTAAGGAACTTGGGGTAAGACTCAGAAATGTCAGCTGAGTGGGAAGAATGAAAACAAGCCCAAAGTTATGTACTTATCTGAGAGGGTTTAAAAAAAAACTCTTCTCGAGCCTTTTAATTAATGTGATAAGTAAAAACATTAATTTGCTTATGAATTTCACATAAGAATTACTGAACAAGAAGCTGGGTACGGTAGCTCATGCCTGTAATCCCAGCACTTTGGGAGGCTGAGGCAGGCGGATCACCTGAGGTCAGGAGTTCAAGACCAGCCTAACCACCAGGGATCAACCCTATCTCTACTAAAAATACAAAAATTAGCTAGGCATGGTGGTACATGCCTATAATCCCAGCTACTCAGGAAGCTGAGGCAGGAGAATCGCTTGAACCCGGGAGGCAGAGGTTGCGCGGAGCTGAGATCACGCCATTGGACTCCAGCCTGAGCAAAAAGAGCGAAATTCTATCTCAAAAAGGAAAAAACAAAGAATTACTGAACAAGAAATTAGCTATTTATTGCCAAAGGGAAACCATAGGCCATCAGAAGAATATACTGTGTATGATCAGTACCCAGTAGAAAACCTTTCTGGTTTGCATAATTCATTCCCACACAAAGCCCAAAATTATATTCTTTGAACAAAATGCTCATTTATCAGTTGTCAACATCTGTTCTCATTTGTCACTGTAACCTAAGTGTGCATATAATTAATAATTCAATTGCTTCATCCTTTTATACAACAGGTATATTTTATACAACAGATAACTACGGTAATGAGCTTCAAAGTGATTGTAGGGGTGGGGAGGACTACTTTAGGTGGAGAGAGAACCTCTCTGAGAGGTGATATTTAAGATGAGCTTGGAGTCATAAGAAAGAGCCAAACCAGGCACAGTGGCTCACACCTGTAATCCCAACACTTTGGGAGGCCGAGATGGGCAGATCACTTGATGTCAGGAGTTTGAGACCAGCCTGGCCAACATGGCAAAACCCCATCTCTACTAAAAATACAAAAATCAGCCTGGTGTGGTGGCAGGCACCTATAATCCCAGCGACTCAGGAGGCTGAGGTAGGAGAATCGTTTGAACCTGTGAGGTGGAAGTTGCAGTGAGCCAAGATTGTGCCATTGCACACCAGCCTGGGTGACAGTGAGACTCCATCTCAAAAAAAAAAAATTAAAAAAGGAGCAATCACATGATGATTAGGAGAAAAAGCATCCAAAGCAGAGGGAAATACCAGAGCAAAGGCCTTGAAGAAAGAGAGAATTTGGCAAGTTCATGGAACAGAAGGAAGCCCTGCTTGGCTGGAGCATAGTGAATAAGGAGGAAATACGAGGTTGAAAATTTAGGCAGGGTTGGATCACATCAGGCCTCAAAGACCCTAGTAAAGAGATTTTTCTTAATGTCATAGGAAGCCATTGGAGAGTTGAGCATATAAGTAACATGAACTTAATTGTGTTTTCAAAGATCGTTTATGGTGAGAATGGATTATCGAAGGCAGAAATAAAAGCAGAGAGACTACTGAGGAGATGACTGCAGTAGTCCAAGTGGGAAACGGAGTGGTTTGGGTAGGAGGCCGAGAGAGAAGCCAGAATCAATAGCCGTCTTTAATGGCACAGATTTATGGAACAAGGGTAACAGAGAAGTCGAGAATAACTCTCAGGCTTTGAGGAGGAATAGAGTTTTGTTGTTCAGTTGGAGATACCTATTAGATAACAAGAAGAAATGCCACATATTGAGAGTCGGCAAAAATATTAGTAATATTACAACTATGGCCAGGCGCGGTGGCTCACGCCTGTAATCCCAGCACTTTGGGAGGCCAAAGCGGGTGGATCACGAGGTCAAGAGATCGAGACTATCCCAGTGAAACCCTGTCTCTACTAAAAATAAAAAAATTAGCTGGGCATGGTGGCGCATGCCTGTAGTCCCAACTACTCGGGAGGCTGAGGCAAAAGAACTGCCCAAACCCGGGAGGCAGAGGTTGTGATGAGCCGAGATCGCGCCATTGCACTCTAGCCTGGGTAACAAGAGCGAAACTCCATCTCAAAAATATATATATATATTACAACTATGGAACTAGATAGGATAACTTAAAGAGAAAGCATAGAAAAGAGAAAAGAAGAGAGCCCAGGACTGAACACTGAGTAGAGAGTAAGGAGCCAGCAGTGGAGACTGAGGAGGAAGCAGAAAGGTGGGAGAAAAACTAGCAAAGCATGATGTCATCAAGAACAAGTGAGTAATAAACTGTGTCCAAACTCTGAGCAGTAAAGAAGGTGAAGAAAGTACAGGATCCGTCTGATTTGACAACATGAAGGGCTTTGATATTCTCCCCTGGTTTCAGTGAGGTTGGAAGCCAAATTAGAGGGGTTAACACAATATAAGATAAAATAAAGACAGCAAATGTATATAACACTTTTTAAGAAATTTTGCATAAAGGAGGAAGAGTAATGGAGTGGTATCTAGAAGAGATTGTGGACTCAAGAGAAAGAGAGATTCTAGAGCATGTGTATAATCCAGTGAGAATTATCCAGTGAGGAAGAGGATATAGGTAATACAAAAGAGAAAGAGCTGCAGAAGTGAAGTCCTTAAGGAATGCAGAGAATAGAGGGATCGCCTGTGATAGGCGCAGAGGCACTTTCATTTAACAGGAGAAAAAGCAGTATGTATAGATACAATAGGTTTGTAGTTTTGATGGTGACAACATGGGGTCATCATGTCTGATTTTTCTTAGTAAAATATGATGCCAAGTTAGCTGATGTAAGGGGTATAAAGAAAAACATTGTGAAACTGTTATCTTGTAGGCTAGGAATCAAGTTTGCTGGGGAAATGTAAGGAGGGGTTCTAGGCAAGGTTGAATGCCTAGAGAGTTTTGTGGTCATTAATTTAAAATATAGCCAGTGAGCCTAGTTGTGTGGTTTTCCTCTGGAAACTTTGAGCTGCTCCGGATTAAATGTGGAAAAGGCAGATAGTTGGGTCCAACTAGGATTTGGGGAAATAGAAACCAGAGGAGAGTATTGGATCATGAGAAAGGCATTGGTGAATGAATTGGAGATTTGATGAGGCCAAAGAATGGTTACAGAAGAGTATTAGTTTAGGGATATTCGAAGTTGAGAGTTAGTTAGTGGAGAAAGATATTTTGAATTCAAGATTTCATAGGGGTACAGATACTTGTAATGAAAAAGTTTAGGTCGTAATTATGGATGTGGGCGCTTGTAGTGAGTTGAAGAAAAGATGAGGATTGGTAAAGAGACCAGGATGTCAGATGAGTAATCTACAGTGATGTTAAAGTCACTGAAAATTTTGAAAAGAGGAGAAAAAGGAGGACAAGTAAGCCAGAGCTAAAGTCTTCAGGGAATAAAAGTGACCAGGAAAGGAGGTCAGGAGAAAACAGTGCGACTACATTATGAGCTTCTAAAATAATGGAAATTTTGAAGGAAGAAGGCAAAGAAACGGTTACAAAACTACAGTGCGTGTCACAGAAAATACCTATACCACCTCCTGGCCATGCCTAACAGAAGGACTGCTGCAAAGGACTTGAAAATACTCTTATTTACCAATTCCACTTCTCAAAGTTTGCTTTATACATATTCCTGCACAAGTACACAAAGATGCTGAAGCAAGGATGTTCACTGAAGTAATAGCAGAAACTAGGACCAAGCTCAATCTCTATCAATAGAGGCTGGTTACGTAAACTACAGTATAATACTACGAATTCTTTTTCTAATGGCATAAGTCTTCATGGGTGATATGTAAAACTTTCTAAGATCTATTGGATAGAAAAGTAGGATATTATAACGTTTCTTTTGCATAAAAATAAAACCACCTGGGCTCGGTGGCTCATGCCTGTAATCTCAGCACTTTGGGAGGCCAAGGCGGGTGGATCACTTGAAGTCAGGAGTTCAGGACCAGCCTGGCCAACATGGTGAAACCCTGTCTCTACTAAAAATACAAAAATTAGCCAGGCATGGTGGCACACATCTGTAGTCCCAGCTATTCAGGAGGCTGAGGCAGGACAATTGCTGGAACTCAGAAGGTGGAGGTTGCAGTGAGCCGAGATTGTGCCATTACCCTCCACCCTGGGTGACAGAGCAAGACTCCATCTCAAAGACAAAACAAAACAAAACAAAACAAAACAAAATGTGTACATGTATATAAATATGTGCTTGAATATATATACGTATGTATGTAATATATATAACATATTTTTATGAGCACATATATGTATAAATACAGTTAACTTTTTTTTTTTTTTGAGACAGGGTCTGGCTCTGTCACCCAGACTGGAGAGCAGTGGCATGATCTCAGCTCGCTACAGCATCTACCTCTCAGGTTCAAGCCACCTACCTCAGCTTTCTGAGTAGCTGGGACTATATGCACACGCCACTGTACCTAGCTAATTTTTATATTTTCATAGAAACGAGGTTTTGCTGTGTTGCTGGTCTCAAACTCCTGAGCTCAAGCAATCTGCCTGCCTCAGCCTCCCAAAGTGCTAGGATTACCAGCATGAGCCACCATGCTCTGCCTACAGTAACTATTTCTGGAAGAATAATCAAGAATTTATTAATAGTTGTTACCTCTAGATACTGAGACAGCAGTTAGTTATATACTTATCTATCCTTTCCATTAGTTATTGTATTAGGTATTGTAATCTTGAAATAAGTGTTACGTTCTGTTAATCCTTGGGGTTTTCACAACATGTAACACAGTGATTTACAAATAGTAGTTGTTCAATAGATGTTTGATAAATTCTGTAGGCATCTCTTTTAGTTGATATGCCAATATTTATAGTTAGAAAATTTAAACCAGAGAATAAATTTAATTGATGCTATAGAAAATATAGATTTTTGAAATTCATAAATAACACTATAAAACATTCTGGCTCTGCATTGACTTGGCCACACTATCAGCTCCAGCTACTTTCTTGGCCCTGTATCATCATATTGACAAGCATCCTTGATTATAGTGATATTTACTGTTATTTGTCTCATCATAATAGAAATTCTAGGTTTTATTGTTGTTGTAATAATAGAAAGTATCAAAGGAAATGTGGCAAGAACACAACTTGGCAAAACCAGAACACTGGTGGGAATTTTTTTAGCCCTTAGCTATTAAATTAGTGTTTAAGCTGTTTGGCAGTATAGCTATATCCACAAATTGGATTTGATCATTCTGCAGATGGGATTCTTGCATATCCTATTTTTCAAGCTAATTTTTTTCTCTCTCTAGAATTGCCTCTTGTCTTTGATAAAGGCAAGCAACTTTTTCATTTGGTGAGGAAATGGAGCTATATGATCATGCATTCCAGAATCAGTCAATCAAAAAGGAAGTACTTTTCACGTTTACACAAACGTAATAGAATCTTCTTGCTACAGCTTATTTTTTGTTTCCGTAAAGCAGCAGTCCTTTTTCGTTGGCCTTTTTTCCTGTAGTAAACGCTAATAACCATATCATTTGTAAGTATATTCAAAAATTACAATTTTAGCCATAAATATAATTCTCCACAAAATAGATAAAATGTTGCATTTTGAAAGTTTGTGTTTCCACCTAACTTAAATGCATATAGAAATAATGTTAAAAACTCTCAACATGTCTGGGCGCTGTGGCTCATGCCTGTAAGCCCAGTACTTTGGAAGGCCAAGGCAGGCAGATCACAAGGTCAAGAGTTCAAGACCAGCCTGACCAACATAGTGAAACCCCATCTTTACTAAAAACATACAAAAATTAGCTGGGCATGGTGGTGGGCACCTGTAGTCTCAGCTACTCGGAAGGCTGGGGCAGGAGAATCACTTGAACCCAGGAGACAGAGGTTGTAGTGAGCCAAGATCACACCACTGTACTCCAGCCTGGGTGACAGAAGACTGTCAAAAAAAAAAAAAACAAACCTCTCAACAAACTTGGTATTGAGGTCTATGACAAACCAACAGCCAACATCATACGGAATGGGCAAAGCTGAGAGCATTCCCCTTGAAAACCGGCACAAGATAAGGATGCCCTCTTTTACCACTTCCATTCAACAGAGTATTGGAAGTCCTAGCCACAGCAGTCAGGCAAGATAAATAAATAAAGAGCATCCAAATAGGAAGACAGGAAGTCAAACTACCTCTTTGCAGACAACATGGTTCTGTATCTAGAAAACCCCATAGTCTCAGCCCAAAAGCTCCTTCAGCTGATAAACAACTTCAGCAAAGTTTCAGGATACAAAATCAGTGTACAAAAATCACGAGCATTCCTATACAGCAACAACAACCAAGCTGAAAGCCAAATCAGCAAGGCAATCCTATTCACAACTGCCACCAAAAACATAAAATGCCTAGGAATACAGCTAACCAGGGAGGTGAAAGATCTCTACAGTGAGAATTACAAAACACTGTTCAAAGAAATCAGAGAAGCCACAAACAAATAGAAAAGCATCCCATACTCATGGATAGGAAGAGTCAATATCATTAAAATAACTATGCTACCCAAAGCAATTTACAGATTGAATGCTATTCCTATCTGACTACCAATGACATTCTTCACAGAACTAGAAAAGAATTATTTTATTTTTCTTTATTTTATTATATTTGATTTTTAATAGCCTATGGCACGTGTTATTTCCAGATGGTCTCCCATCCAAGTACTAACCAGGCCCAACCCTGCTTAGCTTCTCAGATCAGACAAGATCGGGCATACTCAGGGTAATATGGCCGTAGAGAAAAAAAAATACTTTAAAATTAATGTGGAACAAAAAAAGAGCCCCAATAGCCAAGGCAATCCTAAGCAAAAAGAACAAAGCTGGAAGAATCACATTACCCAACTTCAAACTAACTACAAGGCTACAGTGACCAAAACAGCATGGTATGGGTACAAAAACAGGCACATAGTCTAATGGAATAAAATAGAGAGCCCAGAAATACAGCCACACATCTACAACCATCTGATCTTTGACAAAACTGACAAAAACAAGCAGTGGGGAAAAGACTCATTCAATAAATGATGCTGGGATAACTGGGTAACCATATGCAGAAGACTGAAGCTGGACCCCTTCCTTACATCATATACAAAAATCAACTCAAGATGGATTAAAGACAAATAAATGTAAAACCTAAAACTATAAAAACCCGGGAAGACAACTTAGGTAATACCATTCTGGACCTAGGAACAGGCAAAGATTTTATTACAAAGATGTCAAGAGCAATTACAACAAAAGCAAAAGTTGACAAATGGGATCTAATTAAACTTAAGAGCTACTACACAGCCAAAGAAACTATCAACAGAATAAACAGACAATCTACAGAACAGGAGAAAATATTTGCAAACTATACATCTGACAAAGGTCTAATATTCAGCGTCTGTAAAGAACTTAAATTTACAAGAGAAAAACAACCCCATTAAAAAGTGGGAGGCCGAGGCAGGTAGATCACCTAAGTTCAGGAGTTCGAGAACATCCTGGCCATCATGGTGAAACCCCATGTCTACTAAAATTACAAAAACTTAGGAATTGTGGTCGGCACCTGTAATCCCAGCTACTCAGGAGGCTGAGGCACGAGAATCACATGAACATGGGAGGCGGCGGTTGCAGTAAGCTAAGATCGTGCCATTATATGCTAGCCTAGGCAACAGGAACAAAACCCCGTCTTAAAAAAAAAAAGTGGCCAGAGGACATAAGCAAATATTTCTCAAAGAAGACATACATGCAGCCAACAAGCATATGAAAAAAAAACTCAGTATCACTGATCATAAGAGATATGCAAATCAAAACCACAGTGAGATGCCATCTCACACCTGTCAGAATGGCTATTATTAAAAAGTCAAAAAATAGGCTGGGTGCGGTGGCTCACACCTGTTATCTCAGCACTTTGGGAGGCCGAGGCAAGTAGATCACAAGGTCAGAAGTTCGAGACCAGCCTGGCCAACATGGTGAAACCCCTTCTCTGCCAAAAATACAAAAATTAGCTGAGCATGGTGGTGCATGCCTGTAATCCCAGTTACCCAGGAGGCTGAGGCAGGAGAATTGCTTGATCCTGGGAGGTGGAGGTTTCGGTGAGATGAGATTGTGCCACTGCACTCCAGCCTGGGCAACAAAGCAAGACTCCATCTTGAGCGAGAAAAAACATCAAAAAAATAACAGATCCTGGCGAGGTTGCAGAGAAAAGGGAACCCTTATACACTGTTGGTGGGGAATGTAAATTAGTTCAACCATTGTGGAAAGCAGTATGGCAATTCCTCAAATAGCTAAAAGCAGAACTACCATTTGACCCAGCAATCCCATTACTGGGTATATATCCAGAGGAATATAACTCATTTTACCAAAAGATACTTGTGGCTGGGTATGGTGGCTCACACCTGTAATCCCAGCACTTTGGGAGGCCAAGGCAGGTGGATCACCTGAGGTCAGAAGTTTGAGACCAGCCTGGCCAACATGGTGAAACCTCATTTCTACTAAAAAATACAAAAATTAGCTGGGTGTGGTGGTGGGAGCCTGTAATCCCAGCTACTTGGGAGGCTGAGGCAGGAAAATTGCTTGAACCCAGGAGGCAGAGTGAGCCAAGACCGTGCCACTGCACTCCAGCCTGGGCAACCGAGTGAGACTCCGTCTCAAAAAAAAAAAAAAAATAGTGAAACCTCATCTCTACTAAAAATACAAAATTAGCCTGCATGTTGGTACACGCCTACTTGGGAGGCCAAGGCAGGAGAACTGCTTAAACCCAGGAGGCACAGATTGTGGTGAGCCAAGATTGTGCCATTGCACTCAGCCTGGGCAACAATCAAAACTCCATTTCAAAAAAAAAAGGCGTGCACTTGAGTGTTCATTACAGCACTGTTCACAATCTAAGACGTGGAATCAACCTAAATGCCCACCAATGACAAACTGGATAAAGAAAATGTACTTATACACCATGGAATATTAGGCAGCCATAAAAAAGAACGGGATTATGCCTTTTGTGGGAACATGAATGGATCTGGAGGCCATCACCCTTAGCAAACTAACACGAAAAGAGAAAACTAAATACTGCATGTTCTTACTTATAAGTGGGAGCTAAATGATAAGAACTCAGGAACACAAGGAAACAGCAGGCACTGGGGTCTACTTGAGTAAGGAGGTTGAAAGGAGAGAGGGGAACAGAAAAGGTAACTATTGGCTACTGAGCTTAATGACTGGGTGATGTAATAATATGTACCACAGACAAACCCCCGTGACACATGTTTATGTAACAAACCTTCACATACACCCCCAAACCTAAGACAAAAATTTAAAAAAACAAATGATTTCCAGAAATCCTATTTGTTCATATTTTAATTTTTTAACAGAATAAGGTATTATCCTTGTATATCTCTGTACAGCATAAGCTAGCTGCTGTTTTCTAATGTTTGCTGTCTGCATTAATTAATGCTTTGGTTGCCATGGTGAATTACAGAGCACAGGAAGATGCACACAAAGGATTGAACTTGTGTATTCCACTTAGCTTCAACCATCACATGAAAAAGATTTGCTATATGTTTTACCATTGGCCTTCTCAGAACATCTACTTTTAAAACTCACTGGGAAAGGAATGAAAAGGAAAAATGTCAGCGGTATTTAAACATTTTTTTCATAGATGTTCTTCCTTAAGCCAGCTTGAATAAGTAGTAGGAGGCTCAGGAAAACATTTATTAATGTTTTCATAACCAAATGTGACATAGTCATCTTTATGAGATATACAATTGAGCCAAACTCTAAGAGCCTGTCCATGTATCTATGTTTTGTCCTTACATTTATATAACCCTACACCCACAGTTTACCATCCATGACATTTTCTTTCCTCTCCAGTAGTACAAAAATATCCTGCCACCCTGAAATGATCAGACTGAAGGACAGTGTTCTCTTGCTATGCTAAAAGCCTACTTGAGTTTATTCCTTCCCAGTTCTTGCCTTTCTTTTCTATAAGAGACAGATATATTCTGCAGGTAGGTGATGGTCAGAGGATAGCTATGGAGAAGCAACATCATTTTCCTTGATGCTTTCTTTTGTCTGCTCAATGGCTATTTAAATTGACTTATCAGATCAGGAGCTCAAAACAAAAGTGTTAACTGTCTGATTCTTCTCATCAGTCACCAAGATGGTCACTGTACCCCTGCAAGGGAAAGTTTCTCTCTCTTCTTAATAAAATATTCTATGCAATTCATTTATTTACTTAAGTAAATAAATTTAATTTATTTGTTTGAGTACTCCATTATGCAGTTTATCTTGAGTAAATATATTTATTATTTTCCTACGTTTTTCTTTTTTGGGGGTGAATATAATGTCCTTTTATTTTATTGTTTCTGAACACTTTAACTGCCTCTTATCTTCTTGCTTTTTACATAGTCTGTAACTATCACCCAGATAGTTACAACATTGACCAGAAGCCAGAAGGCATTCTACCAATAGTTTGATCAATGCTGTAACTATCTAGGTAGTTTTTCAGTCCTCATCTCCCTTCCTCCCTCCTTTTGGAGTCCCCATAGTCTCTTCTCTCCATCCTTATGTCCATGTGTACCTGCCATGTTAAACTCCCATTTATAAGTGAGAACATGCTATATTTGATTTTTCTGCTCGAGAGTTATTTCACTTAGGATAATGGCCTCTTGCTCCATCCATGTTGCTGCAAAGGACATGATTTCATTCTTTTTTATGCCTGCTTAGTATTCCATGGTGTAGATACATCACATTTTCTTTATCCAGTCCACTGTTGGTAGATACTTCGGTTGGTTCCATAGCTTTGCTATTGTATATAGTGCTGGGATAAACATGAGTGCATGTGTCTTTTTTATATAATGATTTCCTTTCCTTTGGGTAGATACCCAGTAGTGGGATTTCGGGGTCGAATGGTGGGTTGTTTTTGGTTTTTGTTTTTTCTTTTTTGAGACAGCATCTCATTCTCCTGCCCAGGCTGGATGGAGTACAGTGGCACAGTCACAGCTCACTGCAGCCTTGACTCCCCAGGCTCAAGTGATCCTCCCATCTCAGTGCCCCTCCCTGACCCCTGCCTTGCCGAGTAGCTGAGACTACAGGCGCACACCACCACACCGGGCTAATTAAAAACATTTTTTTTGTAGAGTCAGGGTCTTAGAATGTTGCCCAGGTTGATCCCAAGCTCCTTGGCTCAAGCAATCCATCTACCTTGGCCTCCCAAAGTACTGGGATTATAGGCATAAGCCACCAGGCCCAGCCTTTTTGTTATTGTTGTTTTTAAAGAAGAAGTGGGGACATGAGCAAGGACGTACCCTGTGCATTCACTGCCCTCCCTGTGCCTTGATCACTAGTTGTATTTGTCGTTCTAGCTCCATTATGAGTTTGGAGCTAGTTCTGTTTGAGCTGGCTCCATAATGTTTTCCACAGAGGTTGAACTAAGTTACATTCCCACCAACAGTATATGAGCATTCCCTTTTCTCCACATCCATGCCAACATCTGTTGTTTATGACTTTTTAATAAACCAAAATAGTAAGAGCCATATATGACAAACCCAAGCTAACATCATACTGAATGGGGAAATGTTGGAAGCGTTTCCCCTAAGAACTGGAACAAGAGAAGGATGTTCATTCTCACCACTCCTACTCAGCATACTGAAAGTCCTAGCCAGAGCAATCAGGCAATCAGGCAATAGAAAGAAATATAAGACATCCAAATAGGAAAAGAATAAGTCACATTATCTCTGTTCACGTTCAATAGGATTGTATACTTAGAAAACCCTAAAGATCCCTCTAGAAGATTCCTAGACTTGATAAGTGACTTCATTAAAGTCTCAGGATACAAAATCAACACACAAAAATCAGTAACATTTTTATACACCAATAAAATTCAAGCTGAGAATCAAAGTAAGAGCTCAGTCCCATTTACAATAGCCACATATAAAAAATACTTAGCAATATATTTAATAAAGGAAGTGAAAGATCTCTACATGGAGAACTACAAAACACTGATGAAAGAAATCATAGTTGACACAAACAAATGGAAAAACATCCCAAGCTCATTAATTGGAAAAATCAATATTGTTAAAAATGATTATATTACCCAACACAGTCTACAGATTCAACACAATTCCTATCAAGTTACCAACATCATTCTTTACAGAATTAGAAAAAAGAATCCTAAAGCTGATATGGAACCGAAGAAAGCCTAAATAGCTAAGGTGCTCCTAACAACAACAACAAAAAAATCCAGAGTCACATTGCCTGACTTCAAATTATACTATTAGGCTATAGTAACTAAAACAGCATGGTACTGGTACAAAAACAGACACATAGATCAATGGAACAGAATAAAGCACCCAGGAAAAAACCACATACCTGCAACCAACTGATCTTCAATAAAGTTGACAAAAATGACAATGGGGAAAGGACACACCACTGGATAAATGATGCTGGGAAAACTGGCCAGCCATATGCAGAAAAATGAAATTGGACCCCTATCTCTTACCATATACAAAACTTAATGCAAGATGGATTAAAGACCTAAATGTAGGATCTAAAACTATAAAAATCCTAGATGAAAACCTAGGAAAAACTCTTCTGGATATTGGCCTAGGCAAAGAATTCATGACAAAGATCCCAAAAGCAAATGCAACATAAGCAAAAATAGGCAAATAGGACTTAATTAAACTAACACCTTCTGCACAGCAAAAGAAATGATCAACAGAATCAGCAGACAACCTACAAGTAATGCCTCTAACAAAGGGCTGACCCACATCCTACAAGGAACGCAATAAGAAAAAACAACCTCATTAACAACTGGTCAAAGG